AGTTTTTAAGAACTTTCTACCATTATTTCTATACACATTTGGGTATTTTCGGCAAATATGACTCTCCTATTTTAATGTGAAAAGAGTTTAAAATGAATCCCGCCTTGCAAAAAATTGTCAAAGTGTCCATTCTTATGTTATCGCAATATATGCCCCGGAGTTTTGCTTGCTTCCGACGACATAATATTTTTTAAAAAACTTTCTACAATTATTTCTAGACTCATTTGGGTATTTTCGGAAAATATGACGCTCTTATTATCTTACTATATATAAAATTCTAATGCTGGTGTCGCAGTTTTCCATTGTTGTCGGTGCATTTTTATTGGCCAGAAAATCACGTGGTGTGATCCAGTTTTTCCTCATTCGTCTCCTTATTGTTTTGGTTGTAGTCAGCATAAATTAATAAAAGTCATGCTTTTCTATAAATATTTTTGAATCCCTAACTTAAAGTTATTTTCCCGTACTGCTATTATTACGGTTTTAATTNAAGTGTCCATCTTTCTGTTAGCGCAATGTATGCCTCGGAGTTTTGTTTGCTTTCGACGACACATTATTTAAAAAAAAAAAAAAAAAAAAAACTTTCTACAACTATTTCTATACCCTTTGGGTATCTTCGGAAAATATGACTCTCCTATTTTAATATGAAAAGAGTTTCAAATGAATCCCGCCTTGCAAAAAATTATAAAACATTCTCAAAGTGTCCATCTTTCTGTTAGCGCAATGTATGCCTCGGAGTTTTGTTTGCTTCCGACGACATAATATTTAAAAAAAAAAAAAATTTCAATTTTTTCTGTACACGTTTGGATGTTTTCAGAAAATATGACTCTCCTATTTTAATATGAAAAAAGTTTCATATGAATCTCGCAATGCAAAAATTTATAAAAATTACACAAAGTGTCCAATCTAATGATATAGTGCAATATATGTTCTGGACTTTTTTTCGGATGAATTAAGATCAATTTTAAACTTTACAAAACTATTTTTCGACGCATATGAGTAATTTCGGCAAATATGACAATTATGGAATATTTCAATACGAAACTATTTTCAAATGTGTCCTGTGTTTCAAAACTTGTGAATAATTTGCAAACTGTCCAATATGACTCTATATTCTCTATGTGTTTCGGACGACATAAAAATGTTTTAAAAATTTTTTAATATATACAGGCTTCTACGCTTTTTAAGAATGTTTTTCAATTGGTTGCTAAATTTATGTTTTAAATGTATGAACCTGTGTTTTGTGAATTTGATATAAAGTTATTTTCCCCACCACCACATGTAAATGATTCATAAATTAGTATGTTTGAACACCTTAGTATCAAAATGTTTGAACACCTTAGTTATTAATTGTGCGCACTCTATAAGATATTCCGCTGAAATATATTAGTTTTTAACCCTGTAAACATTTCTCGACGCGTGTGGATATTTTCGAAAATATGACTCTCATATTTTAATATGACGTGGTGCAAATGACATATTATTTTATTAAAAATTTTCTATATATAATTCTGTTTTATAAAATTTTGAAAAAAAAATTCTTATATATAACAACTTGAGTTCAAAATAATCTTAACATCGAAGATTTCAGGGAGTTTTTGAAATCTTTTTTGCCAAAAAAGAATGTTTAGACAAGAAGTTTTGCATTTTTTTCCCCAGTTCTACCTTTTTTTGTGCTATGTAACGGTACTTAAAGAATGTTAGATGATCGTAATAAAACATCTTAAGACTTGCGGGAAAAAAAGAGTACTTTGAAGAACAAAGGAATAAGGAAGAGAAAAAGTAAGACATAAAAATTGAGCGACCTTGTTTGTCGTGAGCTATAAGCATTAGAGGCATTACACGGACCATTGCCACTGTGTGGAAGGGAAAAGAACACGCAACAACCCTTTTATTTAACAATCTTTTTTCTTTTTTTGAAGCACTTATAAATGGCAGCATTTCTTTTTACTTGGATGCTGAGTTACTTTGTTTTAAAACAGATAGCATTCGTATAATTCACTTGCACCAGGTTTGCCCTCAAATGAAAAGTCAAGGAAATGCACAATTTTTTTAACATTTTAAGAACTATTATTTTATTTTATAACCGGTGTTGAGCAACCGACCCAATTTTTGGGTTTTGAACAACGACAAATGTTTAATTCCATAGCATTGTAATTTTCAACCCAATTCAGAAAACAAGGGGACTTCTGGATCGAGTATTGGGAGAAATTTCGCCTCCTTGGAAGACTTTTTGATGGAACTGACCCGCATTTGCGTTCACGAAAACCTCCCTCGATTAGCCTGACTGTAAAGAGACTCTAATCCATGATCCGTCTACAACTGAGGATATTTTACGCCAGTGTGGTCGGTGCGAGCCGGGTACCGAATTCGTATCGACCAGCCATCGCTGGGATTCGAACCCGGTTCACGTCATTGGAAGGCGAACGCTCTATTTTCCCATCACGGCACAAGAACTGTTATTGAAGGTTTATATCAGGAAATTAGTTTGGGATGCTTTTTTTATATATATATGTATATATAATGTGCAGCCTGGTTGGTAGGGCACTGGGCCCATGTCCAAGAAGAGTTCGTGGGTTCGATCCCCGCCGACCGAAGACTCCCCGTGTAGTAAAGGATGACTGATGCACGTTAAATCTGTCGAGCCGCAAAGTTCTCCATGTTCCCATAACAAAACAGTACCTCTGGGAGTACTCATCCAAAAGTTTCCTTGTTTTCTAGATTGGTTCAAAATTGCAAGGCTACGAAGTTGAACATTAGTGGTCGTAAACCCAAATATTGGGTCGGTTGTTTAACGACGGATATAAGAAAATAAAATAAAAATATAGTGTGCGGAAAATTCATGCGAAATGAAAAATAAAGAATGGCCGTGCATAAATTATGTCATGCTTTTTCTCTTTTTTTAGCTCCCTTCTCTCCTTTGTCACTAAAGGCAACACTTAAAATTAAATTGCCCCCTTGTCACATATCACCCTATATTACTTAAAGTTATGTTAGCAGACTGAAACAAACCCACGTTATAGATAATTTTTCTTTCTTTCTTTTTTTCTTTTGTTTTAAATTTTTTAATCATTTGTTAGTATCACGTAATATGATTGTGTAATTATTTTGGTGAAATCTATGAATTTTTTTTTTATTTATAGCTAAACAACATAATAATATTTAATCTTTCGACTTTAAATGTTTTTCTTATTTCATTTCTTATTTTTTCCTTCCTATCTCGCGTCACAAACTGTCTCAATTTCCTCTGCCTTCCAAATCCTTTAAAATGAGATTGTTTTATCTTTTACTTTAGTATTCTAATTTTAAGATAAAATTCAAGTAAAAGATGTAACTTTGCATTAACAAAATTTATGTTCTATTTAATTTTAAAAAGAAATTTTGAAATAATTTTTTTAGATTTTTTTCATCCAGATTTAATTTTAATTCCAAGTTTGAAATTTTTACAAATGCAGATTGAAATTGAAAACAATTGCATATTAGATTCTTACGTAAGCTTATTCATGCCCTTCCTCCACCCCTTTTCAGAAAAAAATGAGCACATCACAACCCCCTCTTTATTGCTTACGCGATATTTAAACTGCCTAATAAGGTTGTGTAATGCAGGTCTTTTTAATCATAAAATCTAGACCTGATTCAGAAAGGCAGGGTCTGTTGGTAGGCACAGAACTGCCAAATCCTGGTACACAGCTGTACGTTATCTCGAATCAAATATGCATTTTGCTTGAGTATAAATCTATTAATCGATGTACAGGGTGTTCCGCAGTTTCTGATATTAATATACATTTTTAGAATCCTTGTAAGAAATTAATTTTAAAAGAGGAAACGCATTAGGGTCAAAATGAACGAACAAGAAAGGATAGCGCTATTGAAATCTGAGGAAGCAGGGATGAAAAATATCGAAACCAGTTTGATTGCCTGTAGAATTTAGAAGACTTTTCCGATTCCTCTCTGTTTTTCTATCAATCAAACAAGTTTTTGCTGTTTCAGTTTTTCTCAGAAATGATTCTATTGCTACTGAATGTTATTTTTTGTTTCGTTCTTTCTTTTTCTCTCTCTCAAATATTAATTTGCGACAACTAATCCATACAGAATTTGAATTCCTTACATGACAAGGATTCTAAAAATATAAATTAAAGGTGGTTTTTACGAAACACCCTATAAAATGAGGTAGTTTTAATCAATTGAAAGAATTTTTTCAGCTTACTTTAACATCACCTCGTGTCAACGCAGAATTTAAAAAATGGCCAAATTTAAGAGCCCCTATATAATTTTGGCTGTCCTAGACCTAGGTCTCTCAAGTCGTATTAGGCCAATACCTATTCTAGGTGGTCATGATCAGGTATGGTAACAGCTTGTTTAGGCGACGTTAATTATACATTTATAATAAATTATAATATTTTTTATTTTTTTCTAATGGCAAAAGAAAATGATAAACTCTTACAAAACAGTGAACGAAAAGGTGAACAACAAGTAAGAGAAAAAAGTTACTATCTCATAAATTATAATATTTATTTATATATATTATATATTTATTTATTTATATTATATATCTGCAATACTAAACATTGTAATATATTTTACAGTTCTCAAAATAAATTATGAAATGATACCCTAGTTACCACAAATAAAATTCGAACAGTATATAAAGATCTATGAAAGTTATAAGTACCTCCATTTTTATTCACATTCCTTTTGTATTCAAGAAACAGATTTTTACCCATTTTTTAAAAAAAAATAAATTATAAAGTAATTTTTGTATGCACTGTAAACATATCGCTCATGCACAGTGTAATTAATTCCATCATGCGTTCAATTTAAGAATTCTTTCATGAAACGAAACCTGATAAATAAGGTTCCCCCCCGCCGTCACCAATTTTCAAGTCAAATAATAAATCGCATTGTTTTCTCTGCATATTGAAACATAAAGCACTACTTGTTGCATTCTTGGCTACGGCGTTGGCGGCGTTTTGTTTTACAGTAACCCGCCAATATGGAGTTAAACCAGTTCCACATGAACTATCAGCCAACCACCAACAGTGAGAATACCGCGCTCATATTGTCGTAGCTCAAGCACGTCAAAAATCGACCAAGATCTTTATTTTTCTATTTTCTCCTCTCCATTTAGTGTGGCCTCTTATTTCTACATTTTTGACCTCTTATCAGTGGAACAGAAAAAAGGTAAGTTTTATGTGGTTGATAACGGGGAACAGTTCCGTGAGCTCCTAGATAAAGAATGTAAATAACTACATTATTTTAAAGATATTGGGATTTTATTATTCTGATTTATTAAGGGAATTAAATAAATTGTTCCAATTTTTTTTCTGAAGCAAGTTTAGGTAAGTGGTATTCTAAATCTGGTAATTATTATTAAAGAAAAAAATTCAGTAAATAGCGAAAATATGATTAGTTTCTTCATCAATTTAAGAATATTTAAAATTATTGAAAGTAAATTATCACTCCAAATACTGCTTATGAAAATTTAATTGAATATTTTAGTCTAAAATTTTCTTTAAATAATTTTTTTTTTTTATTTAAACTTTATTACTCTCTTAAGCGTAAACATCTTTTAAAAAATTGATCTACAATAGCCTATCAATTATAGTTTATTAGTCATTTAATACATTACAAATCATAGTATTATCAATAATCATTTTTAAAAGGTGATTAATTTTATAAATCGCAGATATTTTTTAATTTTAATAACAGTTTAACAGATAACTATAATTATTGTAATAAAGTTATTTGGAAAATACTCAATGCAATTAATTCAAAATAATATATTATTAATCTTTTGTTTTGTTAGTATATAATGTTTTTGATAGTGTGAAAATTTTTGAAAAAGTTTGCATCGATTTATAAATTTAAAAAAAAAAAAAAAAATTCGCTTTTTTTTGTTTTTTTGTAAGGAATGTATGCATGTTTTAAATAAGGAAAATGCAAAAGGTCGTATATTATAATGTGCATAAATGGGGGTCATATTGTTGTCTTACTTAAACTAGTAACTGGTCAAAGAGACGTTTAGGAATTTTGAAATGAAATAAACTACTTAAATATTGTTTTTTTAAAACTATTTAAAGCTTGTCATTGCTTAATGTTAGTGCATATAATAAATTATGTATTTTTTTAATATTTTTTAAATGGATATTTCAAAATTAGCTATTAGAATTTACACTGTTTTCAAACAATTGTTGTTGAATAATTAAAAAAATAAATTATAATTCAGTCTTTTTAAGATTGTAAAAGAAAAATCCCTCTTTAGTAAACAATTATAAAAGAAGCGTTTTTGTAATAGTTTCTATATTATCCGAAAAAAAATAACAGTAATGCGTCGGAATAAACAAGTGATATGAAATATTTCAAAGCTTTGCATAAAAATTATCAGAACATAACAAAAAAATAATAGTATTTTTGTTTTCAAAATTATAGTTCTTATTGCCGAACTTTAAGTAAAAAACATAAAAATGAAAAGTAAATTTTGCCGAATAAATGGTTTTTCTGCCATGCTCTAAGGGCTTTACTAAATTTTATCTCATATTATAGCACTATATTTTATGGTTAATTTAACCAGTTCATTACCGTAACACTGCAATAAAAATTCCTGAGCTTTTTGGTGTAAAGCTTTTTGGTAAAGCCAGAAACGTAGTAAATTTTACTATATTCGGGTAGTTTTGACCATACGTTTTATTTCAGTGTACGTTTTCACTCAAACATACACAAACGTGGAAATGAGGATTTTCCCTCTAATCAAAAATTACTAATAATAAATTTTTCATTAATAAGAAACTCACTTATGAATGAATATCATGGAATTCAAAAGTTTTAATATTTTAATAGAGCAACGAAATATGAAAAATTATAAAAATGAAATGATTCAACTCTTCTAATTTAGGATGATAGTAGACACTTTATCTCAATCGATGCTCCAAAATTAATGAACTGTTAATACAAGAATCATTTTTAAAAAAACATTTAAAATTTTGATGCATAAGGTCAGACATGCGGTAAACATTAAAAAAAAAAAGTCTTTTTAGAACATTGTCATAATTATAAAACATGGAAGTGCATCGGCCGTTAATAAAACAGTTAATTTTCAAAAAACAAATGGATTAAATTCGAAAAAAGTTAATTATATGTTAAAAATTATATGTAAAAAGTTAATTAATTATATGGATTAATTCGAAAAAATTAAAGTATACTAATGAAAGTGTAAAGCATTCAATAGAAAAATTGAGGAGCAAAGTTACTGCGAACTCCAAAAATAGAAGAATAATTTGTAACAGAATAGCTGAAATGGCGAAACACTTCTATAATTGAAATGCTATATCCCGACAAGTGAATTACGTAAGGTTATTTTAAACATCGCGAAACGATATTTTAGACTATTAAAGAAAAAAATTCACCTTACACCGAAGTATTACAAAGTATTCTTTAATAAAAAAAAAAGGACAATTTTCTTTCTTTCTTTTTTTTAAAAAGTAGTTTCAATGTCACCAGTCAGCTTTTAAAATATGTAAAATTTTGCATGCATATATGAGCCTTGAGTACATTGTATTTTTTAATGGCCATCCATTATCTATTTTCCGAATTTCTGACTAAAAAAAAAAGTACTCACATTAATGGGACAGAAACTATTATTTAAATCGGAAAGGAAATAAAAATGCTATCAAAGTTTAACTAATTAAATACGTACTGAGAAAGACAGGATTGAAAAAAAAATATTTGATTGCCTGAAAAAGTCTTATTTAATGTATTTGATTGGAAGAGAAAAAAAAAACGAATTGAAGGATGATTAATTGAAATACCCCTGAGTTTCATCTGGCAATCAAAGTGGTTTTTAAGTTTTTCATCTCGCTTTTCTCACTAGTAATTCATCAAATTTCGATAGCGTTTTGCTTGTGTTTCTCTTAAATATTTCTTCTCGATCTCTATTTTGTTAACTATTTTAGCTTTTCTTTTTATAAGCACTCTAATTATATAATCTCAAAATACCTTGCATTTTACTTGAAATGATCGTAAATTTATTTAAAAAAGAAAATGGGACTTTAAAACGTTTAATTTTTAAATCACAAGCCGATTTGCATTTAATTAAAACAAGTGGATTATGTTACAGATATTGATAGGACTTTCGCTAGTATCATCTATCTGTTAATACAATCCTACAAATTAGTCACGGAAATGTGCGTGGCAAAATGCATTTATTTTAATTTGTCACAGACGTCATTTATGGGCGTGTGTGGTGTTGTCTTTATCAATCTTTCTAAGCTTCCATTAAACAGCTCATAATTAAAAACTAAATAAAAAAAATGTTTGGTTTCTGATTCCGATGTGAAACAGCTATTCGTTTTAAAAATAACTTCAGTTAAAAAAATTAGAACATCTTTTGGAATGAATATTTATTTAAAATGTATATGTTCAATCATAAATTAACATCATTCAGCTTTATTAACGAGGTTATGATAATTCAGCAGGGAAGTTAACAAGTATAAGAAAATAAAGTTCTCTACAAAATTTTCTCTGGGTAAAAATCTCTGCACTTGAAATTATAAAAAAATTTTTTATAGAATTTTTTTTCCTTATTCACCCTTACAAATTGAAAACAAAAATTAGCTATCCTATTTAAACGCGATTCAATACTAATACACATTTTATTATCCCCCAGTAGTTTAAATTTCCTTTAAAGACCTAGTAAACTTCTTTAAATAATCACTATAATTCATATGTAGTTAATTTATTTTTTAAATTATATTTAAGAATTTGATAGTTTTATATTAAATGTAATCAACAGAAAGTGTTTAAAAAAATAAGAATATTTTTTTAAAACCATTAACGATAAGGGGACAGCAGTGCTTTGTGTGTGTATATGTATTTGACGTTCTAATTGCAAGCATATTTTGAAAGATAAATAATGTATATATAAAAATATGCTTTTTTGTATTTTTTAATTATAAAAAAAGTAATAATTATTAAAAAAAAATTTCAGATTATTGGAATTGTGTATGTATTAAAATATAAAATTCAAAAAAAGTAGTTTGTAAAAAAAATTTTTTTTCCATTCATGTTCGAAAATTTATCAATTGATTTTGTAAATAGAAGAAATTTCAATGATGAAATAACTGTTTCTTTTAAATCTAAATAACTGAAAAAAGGGGCTATTTTGAAAAATTATTGTTTGGAAGTGAGCCGTGTTTTGAAAGAAGATTTTACCTTCAACGCAGAAAAGACACCTAGGTGTTTCATGCTATATTTCATAATATCAAAATGTTATAGATAATTTTTTTGACCTAATTAATAGAAAACAATTAAGAAAAACGAAAAAAAAATATGCTTAATAAAAATTCCACCTGAAGGGGTTGAAGGAAAAAAAATCTTATTTATTTAAAGTTCAACAATTTACAGCTAAAGATCATTTTAATGACCTCGATTTAACTTTATAATGTAAGTTATCAATTAATTTGGAGAAAAAAATATTGATAAATTTAAAAAAAAAAAAGAAATTTTTTTCCTAGGGAGATCGTTTTTACTAGAATCAGGTTGTTGTCGACCAAATCAAATGATAATCATCATTTTGTTATTAGTGTACTTGGCCTTATTTCTTTGATTGCTTCGAAAAGCCCTGTAGTTCTGCGGAACTTAGTGAGCTATAAGTTAGTAAAAAAATAAACAGCCTGGAATAGGGCGGGAGAAAACAAAAGGTTGAATATTAGGCTTTCGAGAATCTTCAATTAACATTCCGATGTCTAGACCGAGCAGTGCCCTCAAAAAACTGGTAGTTATTAACATAATGGTGGTCTGCTGTTTGGTAAATTTTTTATTGAAATAAAAGATTTTGCTCTACTTGTCTAAGAAAAATACAAAAGGAAACATTGTTACTCGTTCAGACAAGTCATTGTTGCTGGTTTTCTAACGGGGAAGACAATAATTTAGAAACAAATTCGTTTTATACTTTCTCTGAATGTTAAAACTTGATTTCAAAATTGCACAATTTACAAGAAAAAAAATATAGCTTACTAGTTTTATTACCCTTATTTTATTTTTTAATCTGAATAAAAAAAATATCGATTGCGATTATATCATTTAACCAAAATTCACTGGTTTTCAATAAAAATTCAGAGTAAAAATGATTGGATTTTGTGCACTTTATTGGAACAAACAAGCCGCTTTAAATACAATATTTATAT